GAGGCACAAATGACCAGCTCAAACTATCGTACTTTGGACACATTATGCAAAGTCCCAACCCTAGAAGAAGGCTTATTATGGCCTCCCTGTCTCCTTTTTGCCTTCTCATTTAGCTTGCACCATTTAGAACAGGGAGGGCAACTTTGGACAACTTTACGACCTGTGGACTTCAACTCCCAGAATTCCTGAGCCAGCATGGCTGGTTCAAGAATTCTGGGAGTTGAAGTCCACTGGTTGTAAAGTTTCCATAATTACACAACCTTGATTTAAAATACTAGAGATAAAGTAACCACATCTGATCTTGCTGAGCTTCTAAATTTGGAAAATATCAGTCAAATACAAGTTCTAAAGTACATTTTGTGACCATTACACGACCTGCAAACTTTAAGTAAAACTAAACTCTCTGCTGTGCTTGGAGACAACTAAAAAAATTTCCTGTCGATTTTTATTATTTCTTTCAAGTAGAACACTTATATCAACCTGTAATTCTATTAATTTTAAAGATTGTATTCGGTCTAAAGATGTATAAAGACTTGATATAAAATGATAATTGAGATCATTACATATTGTGTTCTTCCGGTAACGTTGTATGACAGAAATGAGTTGGATTTTAAGACCCCATTATTATTCAGTGTCACAGTGCCGTCAAGAGGTCTTTGTCAAAATTGCAGGGAAATTTCTCAAAAAATTATGTACTTGAAAATGTTTTAAAAAATGAATTTCTGATTTTGGGATTTGCTGATTAGATACGTTTTTGTAGACATGGCTAGTACAAAATTTTAAAAATTGAGGCTGTAATGTTATTACCTTTATTTCACTGTACTGAAAAGAGTTGGGGACAAATGCTTTTTTATTTCCTTTGCCCCGCTTTCCCCTATATGTCTTGCTTTCCCTTTCTCCCCTCCCCTACTTTCTCACTCTCTTTATTTTCACTTGTGTTTTATATTTTGATAAAAGGTTTATAAAAATTATCTCTGTCTCTCTATATAAACAAAATTACTACTATAAAATGCCTGACTGTTCACACAACTTTACTTTGTTCTGATTGATGGGAATGATCTTCCCTAAATTCCAGCTTTTCTTGTTTCCTTTTTGGAACGGATGTACCCACATCAAAGCAAACTCCTAGATTTTATACTTTGGAAATAAAGATGAGGCTGAGGTCTGTATTAAAGTGGAGTTTTCAAAGTTGGTGACTTCAATTCCCAGAATGCCCCAGCCAGTTCTTGGCTTCCACATCCACACATCAAAATGCATCATGGCTACCATCTAGATGTTTTTTTTTTAACCACGTCACCCTATGAGGGAGATAAATAAACACTCTTGGCTTCTTAAATCCATATACTGACTGTTGCCAAATTTGAAAAGCATCTTTAAATCATCTCTTTTCCCCGTCCTGCTTCCCAAGATGCCTTAATTGAAAATTTTTTGAGTTAGTCACTCTTTTCTTTTCTTTTAGATTGTAAACTGTTCCAGTTTTGACAACTGCTTTCTTGATTTACCGTAGACAAAAGGGGGTTACAGAGACAGGTGGCCTAGTAGGGTTGTTTAAAACAGGACATGGTTTAGGAAATAGCATTTAAGCAATATTGAGAGAAAGCAGTGAATGGTCTTTGGGTTTGTTCATTGGGGTGCAACACCAATGCATTGCAATTCTTAGGGAAGAAGCCAGAATAATATATGTTCTGAACAAGCAGGGGGGTCTATGGGGACAAGAATGCCATCATACGCATCAAGATGTCATTGTGCAAAATATGTGCGATTTCCTAATTGTCATTTGTGCAATGATATGACCATTGCTAATTAACCTAGCAATTCGAAAGCATGTAAAAAGGCAAGTACCGTGTTTCTCACAAAATAAGGCCGGGCCTTATTTTTTTTTGACCCCTGAAAAAAACGATGAGGCTGTCTTTTCGGGGGTGACTTAATTCCCCCCCTTGCATCCTCGGGCGGGTGGGCGGCAACGGCTTGGATGTTGACCTCGGTGTTGGTGGGGCACTTCCTATCGGGAGACCTTCCGCCACCGTTGCTTTCTCTTCTCCATGTGCTGCCACAGCGTTTAGAGCAACGCCGCGGCATTTGGCGGAGCCACCAGCGGCCAGCCAGGGCTCCTCCCTGCAACCGGAGCCCGGTGGAGACACTCGGCTTCAGGCACTCCTGTTGCCGCCTTCCCTTTGCCTTCGAAGGCAAAGCCAATTCTTTTAAAAACGACACCCTACTACCGGTACGACAAAGCCTCCTCTGCCCGAGAAGGCAGCCCAACCCCACGTGGGGAGGTGAATCTGCTGGGGTCTCAGCACAGGATCGGCCCACCCCAGGAAAAGCACCCAGCTGCCATCCCTGCCTGGTGCCAGGCAGAGCACAAAGAGCTTTGCCTGGCTGCCCAGCGCAGCTGACAGGCAGGCCCTCCTGCCCGGCAGTGGAGCTCTCGCCAAGGCAGCGAGCGCCTCCCCACCGGGCCCTCCGCTCATCCTGCTAGGGCTGCGCCAGAGCCGTGAGGGCTAGGCAGAGCCGGGAAAGCACTCCGCAGGGGCGTGCCTGCCTGCCAAGCGAAAAAGCCGGGCCGACCCGAACTTTGCTTCCTTCCCAAGTCCCTCCAGTCTGAATCCGAAGGGGCCACCAGGAGAGGCCGCCTGAGGCCATGATAGCGCTCACCCATCCATGGACAGGGAGGCAAGGCGACAGCCTGCTCCACATCCTCCTCTGAGCTGAGCCCCACCGAGTGAATGCCTCTGCCCAATGCCCGTGCTGCTGCAGCATTTGGAGCTGCCGGCACATTTGGAGATGTGTGGGGATGGAGAGGGTCTGGGCAAGGGGTGGAAAGGCCAGGAGGTTTTGGGATCTCTCCGCCGGATCCAGGGAAGCAGTGCGGCCAGGGAAGCAGTGCTGCTGTCGCCTCACCTCCCTGTCCGTGGACGGTTGGGCACTATCACTGCCTTGAGCAGCCTCTCCTGGTGGCCCCTTCGGGTTCGGGCTGGAAGGACTTGGGAAGGAAGCCAAGCTTGGGTCAGCCTGCCTCTTTCGCTTGGCAGGCATCTTGCTTTCCCGGTGCTGTCCAGCCCGCATGGCTCTGGCGCGGCCCTTGTGGGGTGAGCGGAGGGCCTGGCAGGGAGGCACTCACTGCCTTGGTGAGAGCTCCGCCACCGGGCAGGAGGGCCCACCTGTCATCTGCGCTGGGTGCCCCAGGTGAAGGTCTTCACGCTCTGCTCAGTGCCAGGCAGGGATAGTGGCTGGGTGCTTCTCCCCGGGTGGGCCATTCCTGTGCTGCGGCCCTGGGATATTTGCCCCCCCATGTGGGGTTGGGCTGCCCTCTCAGGCAGGGGAGGCTTTGTTGTAGTAGGGCGTCATTTTTAAAAGAATTGCCTTTGCCTTCGAAGGCGAAGGGAAGGTGGCGACAGGAGCGCCTGAAGCTGAGTGTCTCCGCCAGGCTACGGTTGCAGGGAGGAGCTCTGGCTGCGCCAAACGCCGTGGCATTGCTCTAAATGCTGCAGCAGTACGGGGAGAAGGGAAAGCAACGGTGGCGGAAGGTCTCCCGATAAGAAGTGCCCCACCAACGCTGAAGTCAACACAGGCAGCACCATATCCAGATATGCAACAAAAGTACTTCCTAACGGCAAGCCCCCCCCCACCATTTTGCATGTTTAATATAGGCCTTAATTTGGGGGAGGGGCTTAATTTGATTGCCTATAAAACATGCTGGGACTTCCTATTGGGGGAGGCCGTATTGTTGGAGAAACACGGTAGAAAACTAGGGACTACTTTGGTAACAGCATTCTGTGCACCTTCGGCGTTTAGTCATGCCGGCCATATGACCACGGAGACATCTTCGGACAGCGCTGCCTCTTCAGCTTTGGACCAGAGATGAGCACTGCCTCCTAGAGCCGGAAACAACTAGCATGTATGTGGCAAGGGGAACCTTTACCTTTAATAATTGTATCATCTACAAAACGAGGTTTTGATATTTGTGATGTCATAGCTTCCAATGAATGCCATTGAAAATAGCAACACACGGCTCCCCTGGGCCCCGGTTTTGGCAACGATGGCCTCCTGCAGCACTCTGCCAATGAAAACAGAGTGAAAACAGAAGGCCACACGTGCCCGCCCGCCCCAAACCTCAGTTTTTGCTGGCAGAGGCACCTCGGGCCTTGAGTTTGACACCTCTGATCTATATATTTCTGGAAGATATGAGAGGAAAAATTATCCATAATACATAGGTTCACAAAGATGATTACATCACTAGATTATAGGACTCTCCTTGCAATAAATGACTATTTTGTTTTTTTTGATTCTGTTAATTAACCAACCGAAGCAAAAAATAGTTTGAAGCATTTTTATTATTGTTCATATACTTTTTGCTCATAAGAAACTGCCAACAACAAAATAAAAGTACATTCAGCCTGCTTGTAGCCACATCTTATCCTGGTTCCTTAGATTCATAGCCTGAGGCTTTAGGAAAGAAGGAAAGTACTTGGGAAAGTGGCTCAGATTAAGGGCCTTGGGCGACTCAGTCAATTGATACAAATTTATCGGTATAAACAGGAGCAAAGATAAATGCTGTTATATGCACTGTTTAACATCTATCATTCATAAGAATATCACCTTTCAATTAATAAATATATAAGTATAAAAAAATTAAAGACATGGATTTTTGGCTTCATCACTCCTCTTTTTCTCTGAAGGCATCTTTTCTGCAAAAAGAAATTAATGTCTCAAAATCCAGGACAAGTCTGCTAACATAATGATTAGACCCCTACATGAAGAAAGTGTTAATTGTATTGCTGTATTGATTTCTTATGCTTTCTCTCATCGACTTGGAAATTAAGTTCAGACCAGAAACTTCTATTTTGCTAGATAGCTTCGAAAACGGGTCTCCTTCACCGACTGCTGTGAAGCCCCATTCCCCATCCATTTTTTACTGGAGCTAATGTGCACATTACTCTTCGAAATCAACATTCACCAAGAATTAAAACCACCATTTCAGAATCTGTTTTAGTGTCTGGTCAGATAGTTTTACTGCTCATTGCTGAGTGTGGGCTTTTATAGGCAGGATAGCGAAAGGCATTCACTACTCTGCATTGAGCCTGTATTCTACTTAAGCCCCTGCACCACAAAATTTGGCTGTGACGCAGTTCCTGTTCGCCAAAGTCAATCACTTCAGTTACTTCTTGTCCTGTTATCTCCTCCTCTTTGAGTGGCTGCTCTCCAATTTCTTTCAGGAACCACAAATATCTGGTAGGAACACTAATGATGACTTGTCCCCATACCAAGGACCCCAGGCCAAAAAAGAGGGACCACAGCCACTGCTCTAGGGTAAGTGCTGTGCAACTAAAGGGCTTCCCTCCAAACTGAACAATTAGAATTTGTGCAATCAAGGTTCCCAGAGTGACACCGCAAAAAATGCTATTTCTGAATATTCCCGAAAAAACATTCCGTTCTCCGTGAATTTTTCGCGCATTGATTTCATTACAAATTTGCATCATTACAAATGTGTTAAATATAATGGTGTAGTGTTGGGTGGGTGGGGACTGCAGGGTTGAGGTTCGTCCATTTTCAATATCAAATAATTGTTCTCCTACAAACAATAGTGAGAAGACCACTACAAGCTGATAAAGGGCATGTAAGAAAATATTTTTCATCATTATACGGGAGATGAGTGGTTTATTTCTACCGTAAGGCTTCCGTTTCAGCAATGATTCAGTTGGCTTTTCTGTGGCTAAAGCAAGAGAAGCAAAGGTATCCATAATGAGATTAACCCACAGCATCTGAACTGCCTTCAGAGGGGAATTCTGGGTGATGCAAGCACCCGTAAAAGCAACTATCACAGCTACTACATTGACCGTAAGTTGAAACTGAAGAAATTTGGAAATGCTATCATACACGTTTCTACCCCACATCACTGCTTTTACAATACTCGAAAAATTGTCATCGGTAAGAATAATATCCGAAGCTTCCTTAGCTACATCTGTTCCAGCAATTCCCATGGCAAAGCCAACATCGGCCTTTTTTAATGCTGGCCCATCATTAGTACCATCCCCAGTGACTGCTACTACTTGTCTTTGCTCTGTGATATTGCTGTTAATGATCCCTTCCACCAAGTTATATTTATCAGCTGGGGAGGATCTTGCAAGCACGGCTAGGGTAGGCCAGATCCTGTCTATCAATTCTTGTTTGATCTCCCCATTCTGATTACGAATTAATCGATTAAACTCAATCCCCTCTAAACACAGAAAGGTCTCCCCGGGCCGCAGAATCCCACACTTGGCTGCGATTGCCCGTGCTGTGTTAATATTGTCGCCAGTGACCATACGGACAACGATGCCAGCATTCTGACACTTCCTGATTGCGTCTGGAACTTCGGGTCTTACTGGATCTTCAATGCCCACAATTGCAATGCAAGTTAAATCCTTAATAACATTGTCCTCATCGTCCCATACTGGTTCTTCTGAATCAGGGCCACCCGGAAAATCTTTGAAAGCAATACAGATGGTTCGGAGTCCCTCAGAAGCCATCGGAGCAATCACATTTTTAATCACATTTTCCCTATCCTTTCTGGAAAAAGGTTCACGCTCTGCAGCAGAGTTCAATATTTTGGTGCATTTTTGAAGAAGTATTTCAGAAGCACCTTTGCTGAAGAGCTGATAACCACCAGCAGCATTTTTCAAAACTGTGCTCATAGATTTCCTGTCAGAATTGAAGGTATACACTTTGTACAATGTTTCTTCTGGGATCTTAGTCCTCATGAGTTCATAATCCAGATTTAATTCTATAAGTAAGCCCAGTAAGGCACATTCAGTTTTATTGCCAATATGACGGGGCAGCCCTCCTTCTACTTCAGGATTCAGGATCTTGGACGTATAAGCACAGTTAACAGAAACACCTTTCAGCAGATAAGCCAACAACGCTGGATGAATTAAAACAGGGGCAGGGACAATTTTATAATGTTTACCCCCAATAAAAATCTGAACCACTGTCATTCTGTTCATTGTTAAAGTCCCGGTTTTATCTGAGCAAATGGCTGTTGCGTTGCCCATAGTTTCACAGGCATCCAGATGCCGGACCAAATTATTATCTCTCATCATTTGCTTCACAGAATAGGCGAGGGAGATGGTTACTGCAAGTGGGAGGCCCTCAGGCACGGCTACAACCAAAATCGTCACGCCAATGATAAAGAATTTCACGATATATTGTATATACACAGGCGTACATTCAACAGTCCAAATGCGCTTCTCAACCACAAATGTTCGAATGAAAAAAGAGGCTATAAGAACAGTGACGGTGATTATAGACATTGCCAGCCCAGCTTTGCCAATTTGCACGGCTAATCTGGTCAGTTTTCCCTGGAGGACAGATTTTTCTTTTTTGTGCCCAGTAAATTTTGGGTGGCTTTCCTCAGTTTCCTCTGTTTTCTTCTCTTCAACCTTTTTCCCTTCTTTGTTCTTAGGGGAACCATTCTTGTTGGTCTCTTTTGGTTGCTCGTGTTCTCCAACTCCAAGTAAAGTGAGGATAATGCCAGTTTGTGAGTTAATGCCAACAGCTGTAACAACCATTTTTCCAGAGCCTTCCATCACATGGGTACCTGACAGCAGCATAGGGTCCTGTCTTAAAGTCTTCTTGACTTGATCAGATTCCCCGGTAAGGGAGCTTTCATCTAGTTTCAAATCATAGCCTTGGAGAAGCAGACCATCAGCTGGTAGGAGATCCCCGTATTTGATTTGCACAACATCCCCAACCACTAAGTCAGCTACTGGGATCTGTGTTACATTCCCACTCCTGATGACAGTAATTTTTTGCTCCTTGTCAATGCGATTCTGCAGCCCTCTGAATTGTTTTTCCTTGCTCCAGTCATTGAAAGCTGTTACAAGCACCACACAAACAACTGATAGAAGTATAGCGGAACCTTCAATCCATTCGGTGTTTCCTTCTTCTTCTTCTCCTTCAAATTCTTCCAAACGACATACTGCAAGATTTACCCCTGAAGGATGATAAAATGAAAGTCCCAATGATACCAGGGCTGCAACTTCCAAGATGCATAATGTCATATCCTGCAGTGCTTCCCATATCAGTTCAAGAAATGTTAGGGGCTTTTTAGGGGGTATAAAGTTCTCTCCAAACACAGATTTCCTAAGCTCTACTTCTGATGAAGATATTCCATTTGTAGGAGATGTTTTCAGATATTTACAGATTTCAAAGATGTCGCCGTATAATTCTTTTATTTTGTTCACAGCTTCTTTCTTTCGAAATTGCATTAGATTTTTCAGCTCTGAGGTGGTGATATTGAAGTCAGCTGACGTATTGTGTGCTGGGGTCACCATCACTGTGCCTTCCTGAAATTTACAAGGACAACCCAAAGAAAGTTAATAGCATTTATAAATTGAAGTTTGGAAACACATTTCTTACATTTATGTAAAAGCACTACCAGTATTTATGGAGGAAAGTACTTTAAAAAAAATCAGAGCCACAGGAAATTTTTTCTCAACTATTGAAGTAACTTACTGGTACAATTGTAACTAGCAATGTGGAAAAACATATATATTTGTACTTGAACCTCAAAAAACATGGCATGTTTTAAAACTGTGCTTGGGGATTTCTCATTCTTTTTTAATTTGCAAAAAAAAAAAATGGACTGGGCCCTGGAGAAGGGAAGAGATCCTTTATTCACCTTCTGTTTATACTAGGAAAGTAGAATAAAATAAACAATAACCAGGTAGACAATTTTGGCAGTCAGAGGCCACAAATTCTGAAGAGCTATAGGAGGCTATCTGGTGGTATTATGATATCACTAAATAGGTGGAGTTCCACTCAAAAGGTGTATGTTTAAAATTATATTAAGCAAATGGACATGTTACTTTCTATACTTCTTTCCGCAAGATCTCTCTCTCTCTCTCTCTCTCTGGCTTGCAGTTTCTCTTGGCTGTGAAAATACCTAACTAGGATGTTTGATTTTGTGTAGTTCAACTAGAAATCCATCTAACTTCATTTGGTGGGACTTCTAATATGACGCAGTTCTACTAAGAAATAAGACTTGCTGAGATCAGTAGGATTTATACCTGTGTGAATAGCTGTACAACTGCACTATTACAAGAAATCTGTCTTACATATAAACCTGCAACCCAGGTATGCTTTTAGCAATCGGACCAAAAGGACCAAACATAGGACCAGTATTTTGAATTTCTCCACAACTGTGTAAGGATCACTCAGCCCCAAATTCAGAATGTACATTTGAAAAGACAAGAAATTGTTTATGTTGATAGTTTTCTTATTGTTGTTTGAAGATAACTAACTTTTTAAATGAACAATATTGGACTTCCTAAAGTGCTATATTTCACATAAATTGTATTATTGTTGGGGACAATCTATTAGCCCCCTGTCACCATGAATTCATATACATCTCAATAGGAACCTGATTGGAATACTTGTTACAAGTATACTTCAGGGTGTGCCTCAGGTATAAATGAGAATAGTTCTCGTGCATCTTTCTTCTGCAAACTAAGCATCAAACTAGAATGTAAACATGTTTCGTAATAATAAAAAAATGCCAGGTAATCAGATCCCTATACAACAGGAAGAGGAGACTTGACTAGAGCACAGGTGTCAAACTCGCTGCGTCACATCGCCATCACGTGATGTTTCGCAATGTTTTTCCCATTCATCATGCATCTGGCCCACAGGCTGCCAGTTCGACACCCCTCGACTAGAGCATTCATTCACCGGAGAGAATTTCCTTTTTCAAGTAGAAAGTTACCCTCTTAATACTCCTTCTGATGAAAGCAAGGTTCCTCTCAAGCTTTTCATTAATAGAAAATATAGATTTGGATTGGATGGGTATTCTGGTGATCACAGAAAAAGAAGTGCAAGATCTATTACACAGACAAAAGCCAGGAAAAGCACCAGGGCCAGACAAGATAACTCCTTCTTATTTAAAAGTCTGTGCTGACCAATTGGCCCCCCATCTTCACCAGAATCTTCAAAAGATCACTAGAGATGTGCTATGTTCCTTCTTGCTTCAAACACTCTGCTTTCATCCCAATGCCAAAGAAACCCTCCATCAAGGAACTGAATGACCACAGACCAATTGCTCTAACATCTGTAGTTATGAAAACCTTTGAAAGGCTAGTGCTGTCCCACTTGAAAACCATCATGGATCCACTGTTAGACCCCATGCAATTTACATACGAAGCAAATAGATCAACAGATGATGCTGTTAATATGCTCTACACTACACCCTACAACACCTTGAATCTCCAAAGACCTACACAAGAGTCCTTACAGTACTAGACAACACAGTATCAACAGTAGAGACCTTCAAATTTCTAGGTTCTATCATATCTCAAGACCTAAAATGGACACCTAACATCAAAAATGTAATCAAAAAAGCACAACAAAGAATGCTCTTTCTGTGTCAACTCAGAAAGCTCAAACTGCCCAAGGAGCTACTGATCCAGTTCTACAGAGGAATTATTGAGTCTGTCATCTGCACCTCTATAACTGTCTGGTTTGGTTCCACAACCACCAGGACAGACACAGACTTCAGAGGATAATTAGGACTGCAGAAAAAGCAATTGCTACCAACCTGCCTTCTACTGATGACCTGTATACTGCATGAGCCAAAAAGACAGCTGTGAAAATATTTACAGACCTCTCACATCCTGGACATAAACTGTTTCAACTCCTACCCTCAAAATGATGCTATAGAAGAACTAGATACCAGGACAATTTTTTTCTGAACGCTATCACTCCACTAAACAAATAATTCCCACAACATTGTCAAACTGTTTACTAAGTATGCATTACTAATTTTTACTATATTAATCCTCCCTTCCTTTCACCCATCTCCTCCCACTCATGACTGTATGACTGTAACTTTGTTGTTTGTATCCTTATGATTTATATGGACTGTTTCCTAGTATGATTGCTTATTTGTACCCTATGACTATATTAAGTGTTGTATCTTATGATTCTTGACAAATGTATATTTTCTTTTATGTACACTGAGTGCATTTGCACCAAGATAAATTCCTTGTGTGTCCAATCACACTTGGCCAATAAAGAATTCTATTCTATTCTATTCTATTCTATTCTATTCTATTCTATTCTAT